ACTATGGTCCCAGCTGCCTTGAGATCATTGACAAGATCCTCCCGTGTAGTTCTGGGCTGATTCCTCACCGTTCTCATGATCATTGCAACTCCACGAGGTGAGATCTTGCATGGAGCCCCAGGCCGAGGGAGATTGACAGGTCTTTTGTGTTTCTTCTATTTGCGAATAATCGCACCAACTGTTGTCACCTTCTCACCAAGCTGCTTGGCGATGGTCTTGTAGCCCATTCCAGCCTTGTGTAGGTCTACAATCTTGTCCCTGACATCCTTGGAGAGCTCTTTGGTCTTGGCCATGGTGGAGAGTTTGGAATCTGATTGATTGATTGCTTCTGTGGACAGGTGTCTTTTATACAGGTAACAAACTGAGATTATGAGTGTGCTCCTAATCTCAGCTCGTTACCTGTATAAAAGACACCTGGGAGCCAGAAATCTTTATGATTGAGAGGGGGTCAAATACTTATTTCCCTCATTAAAATGCAAATCAATTTATAAAAATTTTTTACATGCGTTTTTCTGGATTTTGTTGTTGTTATTCTGTCTCTCACTGTTCAAATAAACCTACCATTAAAATTATAGACTGATCATTTCTTTGTCAGTGGGCAAACTTACAAAATCAGCAGGGGATCAAATACTTTTTTCCCTCACTGTATATTCCCCTTTATTACTTTCCAACCCCGCCACCCTTTCCCCACTTGGAGTAAACTAGTGAACAACAACGCCTAGGCCTCTACTTCCAGCCCATACCCACTATCTACATTTTATGGGCACAGTCATGTATGCATTAACTTATCCAAATAACGGTTCTCCTGAAAACATGTAGATCATTGTTATTTTAATATGTTGGTAACAGTGTTTTAAAAGCAATAAGGCATGCAAGTCAGTGCTATATAATGAATACAGTAAGGTAAATGGATTGACTGGCCTGAAGCGAACATCGCCATTTACCTGTGACTGTATTCATTATATAGCACTACCTCTTGTGCCTTATTCCTTAAAATATATATTTTTTAGATTTAGCTTATTTTTCTACATTTTCTACATAGAAATGTACATTATAGTTCATTAATCTATCACATTCAGCAAATCACCAGCAGAGGGATTAAGTAACCTTTGAATCCATTTTTCCATTCACTGTGTTGGTGGTGCTCATAAAATGTATTATAACTGCAAAATTAGCAGTGCACCCACTCTGGAAATGTGATGTACTTGTAGATTATACTGTTTAAAACAATGTCTATAAATGAACAAAATCTAAAAAGGTACTTTTGAGATATTAATATTATTATTTGTTTACGTAGAATAAATTAATGTGAAAAATTGTATTTCAGAATCCAGACATACTCCATATTTCAGAGAACACTATAAGTATTATAGCGACACAACGATGTTGTCTGTATCATAGATCATAGGGTCTTACAGGAGACATGCGTATAGGTTTAAAAAGGGCCTACGATTTCCACTTTCATCATGTAATACAAATGTAAAAGCATATCAAACATCCTTCCTCTCAACTTTCTAAGTGATAATTTCCAGAAGAATCTGAGATACCCAAAAATATTTCCGGGCATTCCTGGCATGGAATCACCCAGAACATGTATTCATATTTTAGTCACATTTCATCTAATTCGTTCTGGACGGCCAATGACCGGCTTCATTCACTTGATTCACCACTAAGCTGTGCAACAATTGTTTATCTAAATTTGTACTATGGCCATATGTACAGTACGTGCTTCAAATGATGTGAAAGTAACCATTTAAATGTGATGAATCTACTCTGATCTAGTTTGACCTTCAGAAATACTGACAGTTATAGGTGGGTAAGTATTAATCCCAGCCATAACCCTGAGTGGAAAATCCTATTTTTCATCATTACTTTCCTCCAGGAAGCCCTGAAAAGCTAAAGCACGTCTGCACACACACACGGGATTGCATGGATAACTGAAGAGGATGCATTGAATTCCAAATTGCACATGACCGTGACCACAATATCCACCCTGACATGAAGTGGCTATAGAAACATTACGGTATACGGCCTGACATGAACCCAAATGAACCCAGCTGAAGAGCACATAGTGATGGGTGAACCTTAGATTGAAAAATTCATGATTTATAAATTATTAAAACATATCTTATGGGTTCCAATGTCAGAGGACAATGGATACTGTACACAGAAGCATATACATATGTTTTGTGTATGTTCCTTACGAATGGATACATGTGATACAAGTATACAGGGATTGCAACATTTGATCCAAGCATAAAAAAGGCATTCAAAATATAGTAATCCATTTACTGCCCTGAAATCAGTCCTTATCTCCATTTTCAAAGAGATTCCATCAGACAGGCTAGACTAGTGTACCCTTTGTCTTAGAAAACAAAGAGAAAACATTCCTCTTTACGTGACAACCCAACCCACATCCATTGAAGTTCAGGTTTCTCCATGAATCAATAAAAACCTAAAAGCAGCATCTTTGCTTCAGGGATTAAAAATGGATGACACACAAAATGTTTGTTTTTTACAAGGAGAGAGAGAACAAAGACAGTGGAGAGCAACCACAGCAGCATGGCTGTCTGGCTAGAGCAGACACTAGAACTGGAGAACAAATACATGTCAGTGGAGCGAGTAAAAAGAGGAGGATGAGAGGAGGGATGAGATGAGAGGCTATGTATTAGCAGCTATAATGGGAAACTTCCGAATTAGACAAACAGCAACAGTACTAGAGTGAAGGGTGGCTTCACTGGCAAGTAGCAGGCCATGCTACAGACAAATATCTGGATCACCACTCTATGCTTCATAAGTCTATGAAATCTGTTGTCATAAGAATGGCTATGTTTCTGTTGTTGTGGTATGAAGGAAGGTTGAATATATGTCTGTTCAAAAGCATGATACTGTATTGAGCCTCTTATGGGCTTTGTTTTCAGCCAACGTGCGCTAAGCTTATCCATACATACAAGTCATCACAGCATAATATGCATTCATATTGAAGCTGTGCCATAATCTTGTTTTTGTAATCTCCTATACACCACTAATCACCGTGTCGGTAGCATGGTCAGGGTCAACATAGTCAATTCAGGAATTGAATTGAAATCCTAATTGAAAACAAGGGGCCCTTTACATTAAAATAATGAATTTAGATTGATGCCCTAAATTGCCTGAGTTGAAATGAAATCGACTCAGGGGTTACTCACAGTTTAAAAGCAGAGCTGACCGGATTCAGTAGGAGTTAATCCAATAGTCCATAGCAGCCAGAAGGTCTGATTCTCTTCCTGACTGGCCCTTGGGCTTCTATACCCACAACCCCAGTCCACATTCACATCGTCTCAGAGGTACAGAGTCTGGTGGGGGAGTAGTAGATGTGATCAGGACACACTATTCCTGTAGCTAAGGTCCGGTAGCTGGGTTTCAGGGGACTTCAGGGTTTCAGGTCATGTCACAGAGTAAAGTAGGCTCGAGTTCAGTGACCTACATAAACGCATACCACCTGAAGAAAGACAAGACAAGAAGAAAGGTCAGATCCCAGTTAATACCATGGTTGCTGCTTTTAAAGGGGCTATGGAAAGCTCTATTGCTTCCTCACGATGGTGACACCCCCAGAAATAGTACATTCAAAATAGCTTTAAAAAGTGTAATTAAATGAATAAAGTCATGACCTGGACTCCACTGGACTCCACTCTGTTTGCTTGTTAGTCATAGGGATTTTTCTCCTGTTCATTGTTTGGGCCTGACAGAGGAAAAGTCTAAGGGATGAACAAACTAATAAAGCTACTTCCTGTGTACAGCAGGAGTGGGAGTCTGTCTGCTTGAGTGAACTGTACTGTAGCGAGAGAGAGAGAGAGATTGTACTATGCTAGACTTTGTGGGTGAGAGAGAAGGGAGGGTGGTAGAGCGAGACAAAAAGAGAGAGAGAGAAGTGGTGTAGAGTGTTCACACGTGTGTGTGTGTGTGTTTCTGTGTGTGCTATCCTGTTTCTTTGTCTGCACTGTGACAAACCACTTTATTCTAGCCCACACAGCGTGGCAATGCTATTAATTGTTAAGCATGCAATCTAATCCCACCCACGGACAGAAATTCAGAGGAAAAGTGTGAGGAATATACAATCCGTTATGCTAACTCTCAACAATAGAAACATTGAATACTCAAAAAAAATTACACGACAGCCAAGACTAACACCTTTACAATACTGTGATTGTCATGGCACAGACAAAACACATCCAATTCTATACACATTTTAAATTGGCAGTGTTTCATTCCAATGAGCTAAGTATTGCTACACATTTTGGAATCTGAGCGCCCAAAACAAAGCCCTGACTGTGACGTTACTCTATGGCTCTAGCCGTGTATAAAGGAGAAAGCAAGGCTCTGAGTCCCCACTCACTCCCTCTCTCTCAACCCAGGGTTCCTCTACCCACAGGTGGAGACACAAAGCCAGATTGTTTAGCGACCGGCCACTGAGTCAGAGCAGAGGTGAGCCAGTGAGCCCAGTTGGAGAAGCCCACTCATACAGAGCCGTGATGGGAGAATGGGGCCTCTAGGAACAAGGGTGGGACTAGGGTTGCAAAGCTACCGGTAGTTTACCAAAGCTACCGGAACATTCAGTAACTTTGGTAATTAACATGGACTTTATGGCAATCTATTGTAACTTTGGTAATTTATACTTTAATCATTTAAAAATTTATTTATTCATATTTTGTTCACATTCTTTACATCTGTGTCCATCTTGTCCACGAGTGGATCGATCATATAGAACATAATTAATGAAAAAAACATTAATCATAAAACAATGTTAATTTTTTGTATCTACTGCCACCAGTGCAGCCCCAAAACATTTACAACAAATATATAATCACATAGCAAAATAATAATTGCTTTTAGAAATACAGTATACAGGTATTTCTGATATATGGAAATGTTTTTTTTTTTTTTTTGTTGAAAATAATCATAAATTAAATAAAATATATTCAGGGGTTTACTTTTTTTTATTGCATTGTCCTTTCCAGACATTAGTATTCGGGCGATTGGTCTCCGGCATCCTTATTTTCTTCTGAGTCACATTCAATTTGTGTTGTGACATCTGTTAATAGCGCAAACAGTTTCACATTGGAACGAAATGCCACCAATTGCTGGACCCTTTCGTTGGTCAGACTACTGCACACCTTAAGAAAAGATGCGTACAATACATATAACACCAATAAATACACAAATACACAGAGACAATAAAACCAGCACATCATCAATTCATTATAAAAACAAAAATTACCTTTGTGTGCGTAATTCCAAAGAGTGACCAATTGCGCTCTGATGCAGCGGATGTAGGTAGCATCTGCAGTATGACTGAGGCAATGGAGGACAAGGCTTCAAAGCTGCAGAGTACCTTCCACCAGGTTGACGCAGAGATGTGTTCAGCGGAAGTCCAAATCCTATCATCTATCCACAGGCCATCCTACATCCTGAAATTGGCAAAACTCACCAGAACCTTTCCCTCATCCAGCTAAAGGTGGTGTGCCATGGCTGAAGTCATGTCGTATGCTGACATTATCTGCTCCGCAGACAGGTTGAGGCATTCTGGCACATTTTGGATCCAGCAAAAAGCTGCATGGATGGGCTTGGTGCAGAAGTCTTGCCTTTTGTCAATCATTTCCAAAACTGCATCCTCTTCTGCTTCGTCCAGCAAAGACGTTGTCAGTGAAGCACCAATCTGCTCACGCAGATCTGTGAAGAGCCATTAAACATCTGACAAGACTGCCCCATCTCTCTTCACCTGGTTAATGGCAGATGCAGTTGGGGTGAGTAAGGTCAGGTAGATGCCAACGTGCTCCCAAAACACATCATCAAGGATTGTCTTCTTGATGGTAGAATAATTTTGTATGGACTCTTGAGATGGTCATCTCTTGCAGGGACACTTTGCCTTCTAGAAGGCTTGTATACAGTATTACAGATGAGCACCATCTGGTTTTGCAGGGCAGTTTGAGAGAGGTGTTTTTCTGCTTTTCACACAGTTTTTCTCTGAACATTGCTGAGGCCACCCGTTTCCCTTTGACATATTTCACTACCTTCTTGGCTTTATTGTACAGGGTCTGCATGGTTTCCAGGCCCATGATGTCTCCCAGGAGAAGATTGAGACCATGTGCTGCACAGCCAATTGGAGTGATGTGAGGGAAGGCTTCTTTGACTTGTCTCCAAGCTGCTTTCATATTTGCCACATTGTCTGTAACTACGGCAAAACTATTTTATCAGCTCATCTGCAATGAATTTGCTTGTGTGTCTGTTGATTTTTGTGTCAGTGCTTTTGTAAAACATTGGGTGGGGGAGTGCAGACAATGTAATCGATAATACCTTCCCCACATACATTGGACCATCTATCAGAGATCACAGCAACACATTCTGTCTTGTCAGTAGTGACATTTACCTTTTCTTGCACTCTGACATGTTCTGCCTGCAACACGTTGGTTGACAAAGCATGCCTGGTTGGAGGGAAGTATGCACTTAGAATGTTCAAGAAACTTCTCCAGTGAACATTGGTTGTAAGCATGAGAGGAGAGCCTGTGGCATTGATGGCTTGAGCCAGGCACTTATCTGCTTTCTGCTTGGTGTGCCAATCCATACCATGGGTAGTTGCTGCTGACTCAGATGTTGATGCTGTGTCATCTTGGTATTCTGTGCTGAGAGTTGAAGGTTAAGTAGAGGGTTGTAGTGACTTCTCTTTAAAGCTTTCTGGGCCATTTTTGCAGTTGTTCAAATTAAACTGCAACTTTGTAGCATTTTTGCTATACTTATTTGAACAGTAATTGCACATATACTGATACCTTCCATCTTCATTAACTTTTTTGAAATGCCTCCACATGAGAGGGCTTCCATGTTCTTAACCACTGGTATTCATAATGCTGTTCATTGACTACAGCTCAGCATTCAACACCATAGTGCCCTCAAAGCTCATCACTAAGCTAAGGACCCTGTGACTAAACACCTCCCTCTGCAACTGGATCCTGGACTTCCTGATGGGCCGCCCCCAGGTGGTAAGGGTAGGCAACAACACATCTGCCACGCTGATCCTCAACACGGGGACCCCTCAGGGGTGCGTGCTTAGTCGCCTCCTGTACTCCCTGTTCACAATGACTGCGTGGCCAAGCACGACTCCAACACCATCATTAAGTTTGCCGATGACACAACAGTGGTAGCCCTGATCACCAACAATGATGAGACATCCTATAGGGAGGAGGTCAGAGACAACAACCTCTCCCTCAACGCGATCAAGACAAAGGAGATGATCGTGGACCACAGGAAAAGGAGGGCCGAGCACGCCCCCATTCTCATCAACGGGGATGTAGTGGAGCAGGTTGAGAGCTTGAATTTCCTTGGTGTCCACATCACCAACAAACTATCATGGTCCAAACACACCAAGACAGTCGTGAAGAGGGCACAACAACGCCTATTCCCCCTCATGAGACTGAAAAGATTTGGCATGCATCCTCAGATCCTCAAAAAGTTATACAGCTGCACCATCGAGAGCATCCTGACTGGACCAGAGAATCTTGTTTCTCATGGTCTGAGAGTCCTTTAGGTGCCTTTTGGCAAACTCCAAGTGGGCTGTCATGTGCCTTTTATTGAGGAGTGGCTTCCCTCTGGCCACTCTATCATAAAGGCCTGATTGGTGGAGTGCTGCAGAGATGGTTGTCCTTCTGGAAGGGTCTCCCATCTCCACAGAGGAACTCTGGAGCTCTGTAAGAGTGACCATTGGGTTCTTGGTCACCTCCCTGAGCAAGACCCTTCTCCCCTGATTGCTCAGTTTGGCCTGGCAGCCAGCTCTAGGAAGAGTCTTGGAGGTTCCAAACTTCTTCCATTTAAGAATGATGGAGGCCACTGTGTTCTTAGGGACCTTCAAAGCTGCAGAAATGTTTTGGTACCCATCCACAGATCTGTGACTCGACACAATCCTGTCTCGGAGCTCTACGGACAATTCCTTCGAAAGGCTTGGTTTTTGCTCTGAGATGCACTGTCAACTGTGGGACCTTATATAGGTGTGTGCCTTTCCAAATCATATCCATCAATATAATTTAGGATGATCAATGGAAACAGGATGCATCTGAGCTCAATTTCGAGTCTCATAGCAAAGGGTCTGAATACTTATGTAAATAAGGTATTTCTGTTTTTTATTTTTAATATATTTGCCAACATTTCTAAAAACCTGTTTTCGCTCTGTCATTATGGGGTATTGTGTGTAGATTGATGAGGAAAACATTTCATTTAATCTATTTCAGAATAAGGCTGTAATGTAACAAAATGTGGAAAAAGTCAAAGGGTCTGAATACTTTCCGAATGCATTGTATACACACTGAGTGTACAAAACATTAGGCACACCTTCCTAATATTGAGTTGCACTCCTTTTTGCCCTCAGAACAGCCTCAATTCGTCGGGGCATGGACTCTACAAGGTGTAGAAAGTGTTCCACAGGTATGCTGGCCAATGTTCCCTCTAAACTGCACCCGTGTGCGGCCGCACACTTACGCTTCGAACACACCGACTGCGTCATTGCATCAATGCCGCATAACATTTTGCGCAGCTACGCAACTATACTGAATGCAGGTATTTACACACGTGTTGCAGACGGTCACAATAGGTTGGACACATGGAGGAGAGAATCATTTTCGCAGTATCCTCAAAACCGTGTCTTTTTGAGACAACTGCTGACAGCTACGTAAACACATAACAATTGTCCACGATAGTAGGATTGCCAGGTCAGTTTAGTAGTGAGCTTGTGCTAGATGTGGCTAGTTAGCTAGCTAGCTAACCTAGCTAGTTAACCTAGCTAGCTAGCTAGCTTGCTAACCTAGTAAATTAGGTGTGTGTGTGTGTGTGTGTGTTTGTGTGAAAGAGAAATAGTAATATAAATTATGCTAGTTACTACCCCTGATAATTTGGCCAAATAATAATGTTTGAAAGTGTGTGAGTGTGTATGTCAGATAAATAGTAATAGAAATTATGGTAGATACTACCCCTGATAATTTGATCATATAACCATGTGTGTGTGTCTGTGTGTACAGTAGGTGACATGTCCATGATAGCTATCTAATAACTATAGTTATGCTAGGTAATGGTTTGGCTTATCATGTTCATGTCTATGTAGAAGAAGACTGTAGGAGGAAGTGGAGAGGACTCAGGGACAGGTATCAGAGAGAAAGTAGGGCAGAGAAAGAGAAGAAGAGGTCTGGGTCAGCAGCTTCAGGCCAGCGGCCTTGGTGCTTCTGCCACATTCTTTCTTTTCTGGATCCATTTATTGTGCCTAGGGCAACGAGTGGCAATTTTACAGCTAGACCCTTTACGTCATCCACAAGTATGGGTGTCACCGGTCCATCAAGACCCTCTATTTAATCTACAAGTGCGACCACCAACTCCATCGGTGCAGCGAGAGTCATCTACTAGTGCGACCACCGCCTGCACCGGTGCAGCGAGACCCTCTACAACGTCGTTGAACAGGATGTAGCCGTGGAGACAAATGACGACAGAAACAGGGAGAGAAATGAAGAGGAACAACGTCACACCAGGTGTCATCGGAGGTACCAGCCCCCAGATCCACTCAACTAATTTCAGCAGAGACTCCTCCAAGCCGTCGAGAGGGATGCAGCCCAACCTGATGCTCACAGGAAGCCGAGTTCAATGGTACGTTTTTTTAAAATCCACAACACAGGTAGTGTCATAAGTATTGCGACAGTGAAGTAAAGTAGGTCATTTTTACAGTATACTCATGTAGGCTAATTGGTCTTTCAGATCAAAGGATTATATTGAGGCAAATGTATAGCTGTTGTTTCTGGGTTAGAAAATATCCTAAAACAACAGCTTGCTGTCTAAATATTTGCCTGTCATATTCATCTTTTGATCTGAAATACACATTTCATGAGTAAACAGCAAGAATTACCAACTTTACCACACTGTTCCAATATTTATGCCACTAACTACACGATACAAGTAGTATTTAGTTAACATAAATCTCACCTTCTATGGTGTTATATTATGTAATGCTTGTATGTGTTGTTTTTCTCTTCCCTTCCAGAGATGGAGTCAATTTAGCCGACCAGCTCACAGGAGGGACAGGAAGTGGAGAGGAGTTGTCTGGTTGTTGTTTTGACCTCCCTCATTGTACCTTTCTTTTCACACACGTCAGAGCCGTTTAAATTCAGTCAATTCATAAAGTAATTTGTTTCTAAAGTCTTAGGATAGCATTCATTATTAGTGTTACATAGATTTCTGAATTGACAGAATTGAAACTCACACACCGGAGAATTCACAGATGCTCTTGTTGGTCTCTTACAAGACTAAAGGTGAATATATATTTTTCATTTAAAACCACTTGAAAACCAGGGTGTTGAAACTTTTTGTGAAGTCATGTTCCATCGACTGGTCCATGACGTCCAGGGGCCATTTGTTTGCTTAGCTGTGTTACGGCTACATATTATTTTAATTTTTTCAGAGACACTCTGCTCTTCTCCTCGAGGCACCTCACATTTCCAGTGCCCCGCCATTTTAACTCCCTCTGCCTGAGGAGGCTGTTGAGATGAATGGTGGTGGCTAACCATAGGGATGGAGCAGAGGCAGATAGAGGGGAGAAGGCAGGCAGACTGGTGAGGGGGTGGGCTGACTGTCTGTATTACTCTCTCTCTCTCTCTCTCTCCATGGGAGAATCTAAACTGTATTTCCTTGACTCTTCACATCCTCTCTCCTCGCCTCCTTCTCAAAGCCCATTGGAGGAGAAGGTCAGAGCGAGGGAATGTCCTAGTTAGTAGGCTTTTTTAAGTATAAAATTAATGGAATTCATAAAGTAAATAGTTACTCAATACTTAGGATAGCATTCATTATTAGTTGTACATAGATTGCATGAAAATTGACTGAATTGAAACTGACACACTGAATAATTCAGGTGCTCTTGTTCTTTTACAAGACTAAAGGTGACATTTGTGTTTAGCTGTATTGTGGCTACACATTCACTTAGTTTTTTCAGACACACACACACACACACACACCTCTCCTCCTCTCTTCCTAATTTGTTTTTTTTCCACCTGCATTTTGTCAAACCAGTGAAGATGGTGGTAAACTGTACTATTTGTATGGACCCTAGGTTACCTTTTCCCATTGTTATCATACTAACTGTATGTCGTATAACCTTAATTAGAGCTCCTGCTCACCTGATGTGTATAATAGTGATGTTAATGGGAAGAGGTTAAGGTGTGGTCTTTACTTCCAAATTTCACTTAAATATAACTTGCAAATGAAGAGAGACAATGAGACATAAAATAATCTTGAAAGAAATTGTATTTTATGGACAACGTTGGATGGTTCTTAAAATAACCTTTGTGTTAGGGGTCTCTTAAAAGAGCCGTTTCACTCTATGGCATGCTGCCATGGAACTTCACCTGCTGGCGATGAGAAGTAGGTGGTCAGCTTCTCCCTCACCTGGAGTTCCTGTCTGGGGGTGTTGTTGGCACCTGCCCTGGTGACATCAGGTAGGTGACCTCTTGGCGTGCCCATCTCTATCCGGAGCAGCTCCTGGAATGCCCTCCGCAGGTAGTTGTGGAGAACACGTGGCCTTCACGCAGGCATCGACATTTGAGGGGCTGAGACCAAGCACTCTCCAATACATTCTCCACCGGGCTGAAATAATCCCAAAGGCGCATTCAACAACTAACTTTGCCCTGGACAATCGTTTGTTGAAGATCCTTACAGGCTTTGGCAATGGCAGCTGGCGTCCAGCGTAGGGCCTCATGAGATTGGGTCTCAAAGGGAAGGCCTCGTCGCCGATGAAGACGTGGGGAACGGGTCCCAGGTCTTCAGCCCCAGGGAGTGATGCAGGTGGTGGAATCTCCAGGGTGCCATCCTGAAGTGCCTGGCCGAAGGCAGAGTCCCGGAGGGTCCCGCCATCACTTCCCTTGCCGTAAGCAACAACATCGACGACACGGAAACAGTAGATGGCATCTACAACAGCCAAGAGTACAACTGAATATGTTCCCTTGTAGTTGTAGAATTTCGAACCCGAGCATGGTGGAGCCTGGATTACTACATGTTTCCCGTCAATGGAGCCAAGACAGTTGGGGAAATTCCACCTCTCCAGGAACTCATCAGCGATGGCCCTCCAGTCTTCCTCCTTGGGGACAAGCATGTATTCGCCAACCAGACAGTCCCAAATGGCTTGTGCCACAGATGGGACAATGCCTGCCACAAGTGGACCGTCCAACTTGGAAGCTGAATCCGATGGTCCTGTAGGAGTCCCCTGGCGCCAAGAATCTGAAATATAATTCAAAATATATTAATATTGTGTGTAACTTGAATTCCACCCACATGTTCTATCTACACATATAGCTACCGCATTACTATTTATTATGCTCTACTAATTATATTGTAATACTCATCAACCATCATTAACAATGCCTTGAAACAGTCCAATTCAGTCTATGACTGTATCAATAAACTGTAGCCCAGGCCAAATCTACTCTTAGAAAAAAAGATGCTATCTAGAACCTAAAAGGGTTCTACGGCTGTCCCCATAGGGGAACCCTTTGAAGAACCCTTTTTGGTTCCAGGTAGTACCATTTTGGTTCCAAGTAGAACCCTATTGGGTCTCATGTATAACCTTTTCCCCAAAGGGTTCTACCTTGAAACAAAAAGGGTTCTACCTGGAACCAAAAAGGGTTCTACCTGGAACCAAGAAGGGTTATCCTATGGGGAAAGCAGGAGGACACTTTGGAACCCTTTTTTCTAAGAGTGTACATGATTTCAATAAGAACGTAATGAATGACTGTAACTGTCTTGAACAACAAGGGGTCCTGGAGAAGACTAGCCTACCTTCATCAGGGCAGAAGGCATCCCAACTTTCTTTTCATTTGGTAACATTGCATCATAAAAAAATGATTTTAAACCAACTTTCAGAAAAGTTATAGTCTTAATGAACATTCTGTAAAGGTACATCTGATGTCACATCGGGGCTATTAACTAGAGAGCCTTTAGCTAGCTAGGTTGCACATCAAATATTTATAATACCAATCAATTACGGTATCAAAGGCTTTACAAATTCAATTGAATTTAGCTTACCAGAGACAAATCGCCAGGTGTTCAACTGGGCTGATGGACTCCCCGTAGTTGGTATCCATCCGGGCGATCCTGGCTCCAACCATCTGGAGCAGGTGATCGAACTGGCTTCGGTCCAGACGAAAGTAACTTCGGAATCCCTTTCCAAACAGTCAAAGCTCTTGAATGAGACGGTGGAACTCCCCTGCCTGCTTTCGGGACTTCAACCATCTCTGGACTCACACAGACCTGTGCTTTCGGCAAGGTTGGTCCCGGCCCAACAGCGCGATCAAGACCACCTTCCTCAACGTTGGTCTCATTGTTGAAAGAGCCTACTCTCTGCTATCTTGACTATTTATATTTGCATTTCGCTCAAAAACTCTGCATTTTGGAGGGAAATGATATTATAAGCTCTCACAATTAATTTTTAGATGCCATCTAATAAATAATATGTATGCTACTCTGCAAATAAATGAATAAAACATGTAAAGACATTCTGCAGTCAAACTGTTTTTATTATTAAATCCCACTTTTTTTTTACTGGATATGTGTGCAACAAAAATTCAACATTCACATTTAGCTGCTTTCTGTCAAGTCTATGCAAACAATTTGATGAATACATTCGATAAATCCAACATATGCATCACACAGAACGCACTGAAAAGCATTGTTCCATTAGAATTGAATGTCCTTCTTGTGTACCAAAACTCAAGGACACTGTCGGTGAGTTCGATTCGCTCCAGGACTGCAGCGCAGAAGAAATGCCATGCTGCGCAGAGACGTAAGATATTGAAGTTTACTGAATTCACCCCATTAGTTTGCACTATATAGGGATTTTTCTGTGATCGAATCAACATTATATCTGCCCCTTTTCAATGCAACAAACCAAACTTTGCAAGATTAAGTCTGTGTTTTTGTTGTATGCAGAGCCAGGGCGCAACAGAGTAGAATTATATTGGCTGGGGTAGCCCACGAGCGGTCTTTCAATCATCCGCGAGTGAATACGCGTTTCAGATCAGAGCTGCATGCGCACATTTGTTGATATTCTTTGCTAGTTAGCGAGTTATTAGCCAATTTATAGATCAGTTATAGATAAGTATAGGTCAGCAATGGGGAGTTACTGTTTCCTACAAGAGCACAAAACGTGTAGGCTACATTTCAAGCTGTCTTTGAAAAGCTATTCGAAAAAAAATAAAAGTTTGTCTTAAAGGGGCAGTGTTTTATTTAGAGACAGGCTTGAATATGCAAATAAGCCAATAGTCCGAGGTATAGCCCACATTGTCTAATTTTCTGTGTGGTAATAATAATTAATTACATTTTGTAAAATGGTTTCTTGCATCATACAATACAATACAATGCAATTTACAGTCACCTATTTGGCCCATGGTGTTACAGACCAAGTAAAATCATTAATTAATGTCAAGCCCTTCATAACGTAAAAACTTTTTAAAAGTCTCATGCAATGTAGGCATGCATTGAACGTCACATATAGGTTACTGTAGGCTATATCATAGAAATCACAAGCTATTTCCATGTGAAAATGCTATAGGATTTGCTCAATTGGTTTTGGTGGTAGGCCTACATTATGCTCAAATAGACACAATAGCCTATTGGCTACTGTCTAAAACTGTAAGAGTACATGTCACGATCGTCATTCATAGAGGAGGACCAAGGCGCAGCGTTGAATGCGAACATTTTATTTATTAGAATGATCACACGATCAAAACAACAAAACGAAAACGTGACGTCCCTGGTTACATAAACAAACCAACACGGAACAAGAAACCACAAATAATGAATGCCTAACGGCTACCTAAGTATGACTCCCAATCAGAGACAACGAGCTACAGCCGTCTCTGATTGGGAGCCACCCTGGCCAACATAGAATTACAACAACTAGAACATAAACAAATGAAAACTCACACCCTGGCTCAACATACTAGAGTCCCCAGAGCCAGGGCGTGACAGTACCCCCCCCTAAAGGCGCGGACTCCGACCGCGCCAACCAAATACAACAGGGGAGGGACCGGGTGGGCACTCCGCCTCGGCGGCGGATCCGGCTCCGGACATGACCCCCACTCCTTCTCTAACCCCCCAAAGTACCCCTGGTCCGGTCTGGCCCTGCTGACCAGAGCTGAACTGAACACTGGTGGAGCGGATTGCTCTAGCTCCGGCGTGACGCAGCACCTGACCGGTGCCGGACCCGCCACCGGTGGAACAGGCACGGGCCGTGCCGGACTGACGACGCACACCACTGGCTTGGTGTGGGGAGCAGGAGCGGGCCGAGCCGGGCTGACGAAACGCACCACTGACTTGGTGCGGGGAGCAGGAGCGGGCCGGACCGGGCTGACGAAGCGCACCACAGACTTGGTGCGGGGAGCAGGAATGGGCCGGACTGGGCTGGCGACGCGCACCACAGACTTGGTGCGGAGAGCAGGAACGGGCCGGACAGGGCTGACGAAACGCACCACTGACTTGGTGCGGGGAGCAGGAATGGGCCGGACTGGGCTGGCGATGCGCACCGTAGACTTGGTGCGAGTGGCAGGAACAGGCCGGACCGTACTGGGAACACACACCACTGGCCCTACGTGGGGATCAGGAACAGGCCGGACCGGACTGGCAACACACGCCAGTACCTCTCGCCGTGCCTCTACATCTTCCACCCCCTCTTCGACCAGTGGCCCCCGTAACCTGGCGGCCTCCTCTGCCAATCCGCTGGGCCGCTCTGCCGCGGTCTCCTGCTGGCCCGTCGTCCACGGCGTTAGCCCCCCCCTAAAAAATGTCTGGGCGTCTCCCCTACCCGTGGACCAGGTCTCCATGTCCCTCGCCAGCCTTTCGCCCTTCTGCCACAATGTCAAGCCCTTCTCTTCCTCACTCGGCTTGACCCAGTCGAGGAGGCGAAGGAGATCTGTTAGGGATCTCCCTGGCGATGGCTCCTGGACACGCTGCTTGGTCACATCTTGGTGGTTTCTTCTGTCACGATCGTCATTCATAGAGGAGGACCAAGGCGCAGCGTTGAATGTGAACATTTTATTTATTAGAATGATCACACGATCAAAACAACAAAACGAAAATGTGACGTCCCTGGGTACATAAACAAACCAACACGGAACAAGAAACCACAAATAATGAATGCCTAACGGCTACCTAAGTATGACTCCCAATCAGAGACAACGAGCTACAGCCGTCTCTGATTGGGAGCCACCCTGGCCAACATAGAATTACAACAACTAGAACATACACAAATGAAAACTCACACCCTGGCTCAACATACTAGAGTCCCCAGAGCCAGGGCGTGACAGTACAGCCTCAGTGTTCACTGTAAACGGGCGCCGGAAGTTGCACAAAATTCTCACAATGTTCAAGTTTCCACCCACAAGACCTCAAATTTGCTCAGTGCCCCAAAAGATTAGAGGGAACATTGATGCTGGCCCATGTTGACTTCAATGCTTCCCACAGTTGTGTCAAGTAGGCTGGATGTCCTTTGGGCGGTGGACCATTTTTGATACACACGGGAAACTGTTGTGCGTGAAAAACCCAGCAGTGTTGCAGTTCTTGACAAACTCAAACCGGTGTGCCTGGCACCTACTACCATACCCCATTCAAAGGCACTTAAATATTTTGTCTTGCCCATTCACCCTCTGAATGGCACACATATGCATCCGTGTCTCAATTGTCTCAAGGCTTAAAAATCCTTCTTTAACCTGTCTCTTCACCTTCATCTACACTGATTGAAGTGGATTTAACAGGTGACATCAACAAGGGTTCATAGCATTATACTGGCAGCTGAGTTGCCAGCAAATGACTGTGTTGCTGTATTGACTACAGTATGCTCATTAATATACAGTATAATACTGTATTGTATAATACAGCACAGATTTTTCACTGTAAATTACAGTATTTAGCTGGCAACTCTGCTGCCAGTATACTGCTTGTTACGGATACAGGTATCCTGTGTGTGTTTTTGAGTTTTTCCTCTCCTTCTGCCCTAATCACAGGTGTCCTTTATGTTCCTGATTGGTGGTCGTTGGGGTGTCCCACCTGTCCGACATCCGTTTGTCTGCTGATTGCTGAGGTGGACCAATCAGTGGACATTCCTCTGTATTGCACCACCTGTTTCTGGTTTTTCACTTACACCTCCCATTGTTTTAAAAGCCAGTCAGTTGTGTTTGTTGGGAGAGACTATTTCCGTATGTGAGTATGGATACTGTGGTGTCCTGTGTTTTGTGTACTCACTAATTTGCTGGATACTCTGTTTGGTAACTTTGTTGTGTGTTTCTGGGAAAAGGGGGATTTAAGCAAGCTGCCCTTGGGCATACATTACCCGTAGGAAGAAAATTGTCTAAAAACACTAGTTAGACCTGAGCGGACCACCCACTGTAATGTTTGTATGATTAGCAGTAGCTTAGCGGTTCTTGAGGCAGGCAAGATCAGTTTAGTTTTTTTTACATTATTGTTTCATTCCTTGGGTCCTGCTCAGCCCTTTTTCCCAAACCTTTACCGTGTGTTCAAAATAAACATCTTGTGTTTGACGGTAGCTTATGGTTGTCGGTGTATTTTTTGGTTCTCACTGTTTCCATGTCATGATTCTAATTTGCATGAATTATGTTATGGGTCTCTGTTCCATCCACCCTAGACTTTTAAAGCCACGGGGTTCGTAACATAATGTGGGGGTTCGTCCGGGATCTATCTCATTGATACCCATGCTACTCATGCAAATTAGTTTAGCGTCTGGTTCAGTGTTGAGCTTGGCAGCTGTGACTAACTGGTTTTGTGTTTAGTATTCATCGGCTCGTGTTGCTAGTTTAAGATGGCTACTTTTGAGTTGGATGCATTTTTGGAAAACCCTACGTGGGAGGTTTTTGAGAATTGCCGTAGAGTGGATCTACAGGCTTTGGCTGACCACTTTTCTGTACCCATATCAAGGGTTTTAGTGAAAGCAGAAGTTAGGAAAGCAGTGTTAGAGATATTATTGAACGAGCGAGTGCTTGAGTTACCGCCGCCTGAGCCTGCTGCTCCTGTAGGGGATGTGGCTGCTGCTCCTGTAAGCCTGTCGGTGTCTGAGGACGAGACTAAGGCTCCAGCCACATTGCCCCATTTTGACCCACTCTCCCCACTGTCCGACAGTGATGCCAGGATGGAGGTCCGCTCGACACGGCTCCAAATGGAGGCGGAAGAGCGGGCACAAATCAGGCAAGACAAGCTGGAAACGCGTAAGATGGAACTGGAGACGCGTAGGCTTGATCAGGAACTGGAGACGCGTAGGCTTGATCAAGAACTGGAGATGCGTAAGCTAGAGGCAGAACAGGAGACGCGTAAG